GCATCTGCTTTATTACCTGTGTTCCAGTCTATTAACATTGTAACACCTATCTATAATGTTATATTAATAAAACAGAGTCTGCACCTCACAAGGAAGCAGCCTTAACCATCATGAATTTGTTTCAATAATGGGAGGGTCTTTTTTCTTATGTAAAAATGCATCAAATTGAGATCAATGGTCCAATTTCATTTTTATCCATTGAATCAGCTGAAAGTACCTTTCCGGAAGCCCATGTCACAATGGTTTCACTTGCTTTGCTTTTCTTATATTCCCTCCAAATCATGCAGTCTCCATTTCAGCAGCACTTACAATATCAAGAAATATGCTCTCCAAGAAAAAAAAAAATTCTGTTCCAACCCATTGTCCCATTTGGTCAACTCAATTTTGGCTGAATGAAATTTGTGTTTACCTCAGACTACAAGTAAAAACAAAGTATAAATCACAGCCAGTCACAGATGACACAAACACAGTTCTAAATGGGGGCATGTTCCAGGGAGCATAATACATCCAGGGAGCCCTGCAGTCTTCCCCTGGGTGGGCACAGGACAGGTCAATGGAGGTCCTTAAATCACACTATCACAGCAGATCAGAACCCAAGTTCTCTGCTGGAGGCCGTCTCTCCTCCTGGCAGGGTACCCAGGGTATGGGCAGAGTATACCAGGTTTCCACAGGACAGGGGTAATTGTCCACCCTGTGGCACAGACCAGGTTGGCCCTGGGGCCCAGTGTACCAAGACTCCACAGCAGGGGGAGATGCCAAACCTGTGGCATACACCATGCTGACCTGTGCAGAGAGGGGTCTGGCAGGAGCCCATGAGGCTAACAGGGGATATGTTCCCTGGTGCACACCAAGGTCATCAGGAAAGAGGAATGTGAGTGTGGAGAACTGAGGGGACTCTGAGCTCAGGCAGTGCAGGGAAGAAGGCAACAGTGAAGAGGAGATCCAGGCACAACTGGGTGGTGGTGGCCCAGTAAGTTCATCAGACCCAGGAGTAAATGGGCATCCATGCAAGTGCCTCCTGCTCCACAGTCATTAATAGACCCCAGGACCAGCAGTGTCCAGGCCTCTTCAGCACAATGACCCCAGCAGAGCACAGCAAGGACACCCAGAAGTATATATCAACATGCAAAATCCTTTGCAGTACAGGGCAAGCACTGGAAAGCAGGATCCTGGAAATTTATTGGCTGCAAGGTCAAGAGGGGTATTGCCTTCATGAAGGCTGACCACCTACAGGGTGCTACACACACTGTGGACTTCAAATGGGTCATGACTGATGGTAAGGAAGTTCTAAAGTGTCTGGGAGCCTTAAAACTAATGCTCCTGAATCCCATCAGAGACTCTGCTGTTAATGTTAAAAGAAAAATTCCTGGCTACCATGTGAAATCTTTTGCCAGTTGAGGCTCTATTAGTGATGTGGGGCAGATGAGGCTGGATACTCAGGAAAACTCCAGGAGCAGACTTATTCACAGCAGGGCTTAGAAGGGTATCACCTAAAATTTTGTGGACCTTGATGTTGTAATTTCATTATCTTTACACCCAGAGGGAGGGGGTGGAGGTTTATTTATGTATGTATGTATTTATTTATTTATTCATAGGAGTGTACAAAAAAAACATTTTTGGTTGTTCAAAGAAAGTGAACTTTTAATCATTTTTGAGATTATTCAGAGGTCTTCCAAGCTTTACCAGAAAAGAAGAATTAACATCATTAAATCTTCATTCAACACATATTGAGTTCTTTGCAAAACCTTTTCCTGATATTTGTTTTAAAGAAAATTATGGTGAGGGTCTCTGGAGAAGCTTATTTAATATTCTTAGGTGCAGAAGGGGGCACCAATACATTAGGACATAAGACTGGGGCCCTCCGTACCTAGTTTTGATTACATGCTGTGTATGAAAAAAAAAATCATCACAGGAGGTTCCCAGGGCTACTGAGGTACCCTGAACACAGAGAGATGTCCAGCCTCGGTTTTCCAGCATATTCCACCTAAGTATTAATCATGGTGAGAAAAGCTAAATTGGATGTCAGTGGTTAAAATTCCCTGCTGTCTCGGGCTGTGGATGTGGCTCAAGCGGTAGCGTGCTCGCCTGGCATGTGTGTGGCCCGGGTTCGATCCTCAGCACCACATACAAACAAAGATGTTGTGTCCGCCGAAAACTAAAAAAATATTAAAATTCTCTCTTAAAAAAAAAAATGTCGAAGGAGGTTAAACTCTATTGATGGTTGTTAACCATTCAATTGATAAAATTAAAAAAATAAATAAATATAATTCCCTGCTGTTAAATATGTTTAAGAAGAAAGGGACCAGGTGAAAACGTGGAGGAAAACCTGCAGAGCGGCATCTACCGAGGTGGTCATCAGTGGGGTCCATGCACACAGCAGCAGCAAATTCACTACCTGAGCTAGGAGAGTGCTCAGTGCTAGAGCGCCTGTCTAACAGGCACAAGGCAGGTTTGGGTCCCTGGCACCAGGGATAGATAAGAAATAGAAAGCCACTCAATTAATTAAGTACAGAGCAAAGTATATTTTGAGAAGGTGCCTCTCCAAACAATACATACAAATTACAACTTTTATAATGCCCTTAAATGTGCCTACATACAACACAACACATGAGACTTAGAAGAAACACGGGTGACAGAGTGGTAGTCCCAGAGTCATCAACAGGACATAAGGCACCAAGGAAATGGAAGAGGCCAGTTTCAGGACACAAAAGGGCTCATCTCTATGGTCCCAGATGCTAGGAGGCTGAGGCAGGGTGACCACAAGTTTGAGGCCAGCATCACCCCCATTTCAAAAAAATAATAATAAAAAGGCTAGGGGGAAGCTCAGTGGTGGAGCAATCCTGAGTGAAACCTGAAGGAAAGAAGGGAGCAAAGGAGGGAAAAAAGAGACATTTAGCCAATCTGCACAGAATGCTGGAGTGCACAGGCCTCAACTCACATACACAATGTGTAACCAAACTTTAGAAACACACAAAAGAATAAATTGAGAAGTCATGAAGTAATAATTTGAGAAAAAATAGTGGGCAGCAATGTTGTGAGAAAAGTCAAAGAAATCAAGTTGCATTACACAGTGAGGATGAAAGAACTGCACTACAGAGGGTATGTAGAGAAAAGGGTGACTTGATCCTGTACATGCGTGTGCACGTGGGTATGAGTGTGCATGTGTGGGTGGCACAACTCAGCCCTCTCAGGTGTTTGCTTTTGTAGTTTCACTTGGTGATCTAGATAACACACACATGAGCACCAGGCCACGTTCCATAGTCTCTGTGACTCTGTGAAGTTGATTATCTGGTGTCTGGTGCACAGAGGGAAATATAAAATCATTTGTTAAAAAAAAATCTGTAATAGTCTTAGTGATTACTTGCATTTCATTTTATCATAAGATCTTAATAGAAATGAATAGTTTGATTCCTTAAATAGTAAAGCAGTTCTCCCATGCTGTTTTCAACATAAATTATCTAAAGTAAACTTTTTCCAAGTGGACTTCAGTTTAGTCCAACTGGAAATATAAAAATTTGGAGTATAAGGTGTGAATTAATGTCATTGTGATGCTCAGAATCATTCTAGAATCTTAGAGCTCGAATGGCGTTAGTATACATAAACACATTAAAAAGTAATTCTTGCCTCTGTATCAACTAAGACTTGGAAACTCTACAGAAAGAAGGCACACACTGATTTACATCAAAGTTTCAAGAAACATCCAGGAGCCAGGAATGATAGCACGTCTGTAATCCTAGTGGCTATAGAACGAGAATCACAAGTTCAAACCCATCCTCACCAACATACTGAGTCCCTTTAGAATTTAAAAATCACTTCAATCAAAATTTAAAAAATAAATAATTAAAAACGGGTATGGATGGGATCAGGGCTTATACACTTTAGATATGATGATGATGGTGGTGGTGATGATGATGATGATAATTAAAATATTAATGTTTATTTTCTCTTGCCCTCAATTCTATGACCCTGGTAATTATATTGAAAACCTCTCACAATTTTTTTTTTTGTCAAAACATAAAAAGTCATAAAAATGGACAATAAAAAAGAAAATGAACTCAAGGGAAGAGAGATGAAAACTCTAAAAAAAATTAAAATGCTGCAAATACAGGTTAATACATTTTAAATACAAAGCTTGTGTACTATTCTATATCATACTTCTTCGTACAAAATCATACTACACACTAGATTTTGCCAACTCATACACAGTAAATATAGGATTATGTCATCATATGGGAGAGTTGACAACAGATGCAAAAAAATATAGAGAGAAAAATTAAATCTAACAGGAAGAGATATTTAACCAGGAGAAACATGTTGCCTTCACATCTTCATGCTGACACAATTCCTACATCCACTCCTGGGTGCATTCTAATTACCTCTGAATAGACAAAAAATAAATGAAGGCACACACCCTTTTTACTCGCCTACAGTGGTTTTCTCAAAAAAAGAAGTTTCTTGCTGAAGGGGTTGCATAACTGTAATTTCACTGGAAAAGCAGGCTGAGGCAGGGGATTACAAGTTCAACATCAACCTCAGCAACATAGTGAGGACCTAAGCAATTCAGTGAGACCATGGCTAAATATTTGAAAAAAAAAATTAAAAGAAGTAGGATGTGGCTCAGTGATCAATTGTTTCTGGGTTGAATCCCTGGTACCAAAAAAAAAAAAAAAAAAGAAAAAAAGTAAAAGAAATTAAAATAACAAAATCTCTCAAGTCTAAATAAGTCTAAATGGATCTGAAACAACTGAAGGTCTCACCACATTTTTATACACAAGGATTTTCTCCAGAGTGAGTTCTTCCATGATGTTCAAAAAGAACATGGAAAAGTGAAAGTGTCATCACATTGTTTAAAGAACAGAAGGGTTTTCCCCGATGTGAATCCCTTTATGTCTTTGAAGGAAACCATGAAAGCTGCATACTGCCCCACATGGCTTTTCCACAGGATTTTCTACAGTATGAGTCCTTTCATACAAGTGAACAAAACGGAAACACTTGAACACTTACTTGCACATGATTTATTCATTTTGGCATGAATCTTTCCAGAAGAGTCTTCCCAGACCTTATAAAAAACTGGGAAAATTAGAAGACTTCCCACATTAATCACATTCTCAGGGCTTCTCTCTGTATTGTCATATATGAGAAGGAAAGCAGGGCTGGGATGGGAAGCTGACAGAATGTACCCAATCTTCCTCATTCTGAGGGTTTGTTTTCCAGTGTGAGTGAAATGACTTTGAAGGCAACAGGAAAAATGGAATGATTTTCCAGTCTTCACATTTAAAGCTTTATTCAGTTGGATCTAGTAGTGTTTGCCTTTAATCCCAGAGACTCGGGGTCTGAGGCAGAAGGATCACAAATGTGAAGCCAAACTCAGCACATAAGCAAGGCCCTAAAGAACTCTGCAAGTCCCTCTCTCAAAATAAAAAGGAAAAAGGTTGTGGCTCAGTGATAGATGACCACCAGACTAAATCCCCAGTTATTATAGATAGATACATAGATAGATAGATAGATAGATAGATAGATACATAGATAGATAGATTTGGACATGTGAGCACTTTTTTCACTTTGACAAGAAATATTGATTTCCCACATTTCACATTCAAAGAATTTTTCTACAGAAAAATTACTACATGTTAATGAGTGAAACATTATTAACAGAAGACTTTGCCAATTGTTTTCATGAGCACGATTTCTCTGCACTATGGGTTCCTTCATGTAAGTGAAGCTGAGCAGATGTAACAAAGGCTTTTTCACATTGTTTACAACCATAGAGCTTCTCTCCGATATGTATTCTTCCATGTCTTTGAAGTTCACTGGAACTAGCAAAGGCTTTGAAACACCGCTTACACTCATAGGGCTTCTCCCCAGTATGTATTCTTCTATGAATCTGAAGGTAACTGGATGTAGAAAAGGCTTTGCCACACTGCTCACACTCATAGGGCTTTTCTCCAGTGTGAGTTTTTTCATGTTTGGCAAGGTAACTACAACTAGCAAAGAAATTACCACAATGCTTACATTCATAGGGCTTCTCCCCAGTATGTTTTCTTCTATGTCTGTAAAGGCTACTGTACACAGCAAAGGCTTTGTCACACTGCTTACATGCATAAGGCTTCTCTCCAGTATGAATTCTTTTATGTAAGTGAAGTTCAGAGGAACGAGCGAAGGCTTTGCCACACTGCTTACATGCGTAAGGCTTCTCTGCAGTATGAATTGTTTTATGTGAGTAAAGGCCAGAGAATTGAGTGAAGGCTTTTCCACACTGCTTACATTCATAGGGCTTCTCCCCAGTATGTATTCTTCTATGTCTCTGAAGGCTAATGGACCTAGCAAAGGCTTTGTCACACTGCTTACATGGATAAGGCTTCTCTCCACTATGAACTGTTTTATGTGAGTGAAGGCCAGAGGAATTAGTGAAGGCTTTTCCACACTGCTTACACTCATAGGGCTTCTCTCCAGTATGCGTTCTTCCATGAATCTGAAGGGAAGTTGACGTAGCAAAGGCTTTGCCACACTGCTTACACTCATAGGGCTTCTCTCCAGTATGCATTCTTCCATGAATCTGAAGGTAACTAGATGTAGAAAAGACTTTGCCACACTGCTTACATTCATAGGGCTTTTCTCCATTGTGAGTTTTTTCATGTGAGTAAAGGTTACTGGATGTAGCAAAGGCTTTGCCACACTGCTTACACTCATAGGGTTTCTCTCCAGTATGTGTTCTTCCATGTCTCTGAAGTTCACTGGAACTTGAAAAAACTTTTCCACACTGCTTACATTTAAAGGACTTCTCTCCAGGATGTGTTCTTCTATGTCTCTGAAACTCAGTAGAACTAGCAAAGGCTTTGCCACACTGCTTACATTCATAGGGCTTCTCTCCAGTATGTGTTCTTCCATGTATTTGAAGGTAACTGGATGTAGAAAACGCTTTTCCACACTGCTTACATTCATGGGGCTTCTCTCCAGTATGTGTTCTCTGATGTATTCTAAATAAACTGGGGTAAGCAAAGTCTTTCCCACATACCTTACATTTTAAATGTGCATTCCCCATGTGTGTGATCCTCTGCTTTTGAAGACTTGTGTGTGAAATAAAGGTTTCACAATCTTGTTTACATTCATAGAGTTTCTCTCCATAATGAGTTCTTTCATGTCTTCTAAATAAAGAAGGAAAATGAAAGGCTTTCCCACATATGTCACACTGAAAAGGTTTACCTACACTGTGTGTTCTCATGTGTCTTTGAACACATGTGGAAGAAGATGAGGCTTCACCACTTTGTTGATATTCATAGGGTTTCCACCCAGTATGAGTATCTTCATGTCTTTGAATGTCACTAGAACAACTGAAGACTTTCCCACGTACTGTACTTTTGTAAGGTCCCACTGCAGTTTGTATTAACATTTGTGTGTGAACATTTTTTAGAAAAGCCAGGGATTGCCTATAGTGTTTAAATTCACGTGGCTTCTCTTCACATTCCTCCTGGTTGTAGCGTTTGTGTCCAGAGTGAGATGTGATGTGCCTATGAAGTAATGAAGGGCATATGAAGTCTTTGGCACACATATAATAACCACATGGATTTACTCTATTAAAATTTTTCTTTGTCCAGGTAAGAACTGGAATCTCATTGAAACTTTCCCCACACTATCTTATTGGCTGTTGAAGTTTACCACATGGCTTCTTTGAAGAATGACCAGCACATTATCAATGCTTGATTCATTCATGATTTTATACTTATTTATAGGACCTAGGCTTACATTACTATCAACATCAGGTAAAGGCGAGGTTTCCTAATGTGTTCAAATTGCCTCAAAATCAAGAGATTGAAAGGAAACAATCCTTTGCAATGCACCTTCCCTATGGTGATTATCCAAATAGTGATATTCACATGCAATTTCATATACTTTTGGCATGCGAAGTAATTAGAAAAAACTGAATATCTGTTACAGTTAAGTATATATTTCTGGTAAAAAAAAATCTTATAAGAATAAATATATTTCAAATTGTGCATACTTCTTGAGTTGGTCTGTTTTAAAAATTATATGACATTCACAGATTCCCTCAAATACACCTCTTGTGGGTACAATTACCTTAGAATGCTCTCAGAATTTTTTATCTCATCTTCAATATTCTTTTCATCCAATTTGTTTTCTAAAATGAGAGACCAGAACAATCTGTATGAATTCTTAGGACACAGAACTGCTTTGCCAAATTGTAGGTGCCTTTTATGCTGCAATAATTCAACAATATATTCCCTGTTCATGTTGTATATAAATGACAAATATAAACATGAGTTCTCTATTTGATTAATTTTTTAAAAAAAAAATCATTATTACCTATAAAAGCCAGGTTTCTTAGGATTTCCAGCATCACATCTCTGTAAAGGTTCTTCTGGGAAGGATCCAGCAATGCCCACTCAGCCTGGGTGAAGTTCACAGCCACATCCTCAAAGGTCACTGAGATCTAAAATATCCCACAAATGCTTACTGGAGGTCAGGAGAGATTGACAGCAGAAGAAATATGTACTCAACATGCTTGATGTCCACAGGATTCTATGAATTTCTGATTAATTCCATGATTTGGTCCATCAAATCCTTCCTGCACTAAATTCCTCAAACATTTCAACACTAGAATTGGGCCACTCAGAAGGCAAACAACTAAGTGTTTTACTCCCTTCCATTGGTGAGTTCACAGGAAGTAAGACAGTATCATGAGTCACTTTGTTAGTAACACCTCTATTACATGTCCTAACAGCCTTCTCTGCTGTGGAGAGCTAATATTAGCATACCGATAGTACTTACCCTTAGGAAAGAAAGCTGACTGAGTATGAAATTGTTGCAATCACAGAACTCAGCAATTGAGAGAGATTCTACCAACCACAGTGGGTCACTGTGCCTACACTCTTAATATAGACAACACTGCACTCGCTGATCTCTTGATTCTTTCAGAAAGTCTATTGTTCCTTCTTTAAGGAAATGCCTAGAACAGTCCCCACCCATGACTTCTGAGCATGGATCACAAAGAAGATTCCCCTACAGACAGCATATAGACAAATTGACACTCGGGTTGCCACAATTTGTGAACTGGGGATTGTGTTCATCTTGTGGGATTACACGAAGAGAACAACTAGATATTTGCAGGTGCATTTCTCCATAACAAAATTAATAAAATAGGAAACATGCACAATGATTAACAAACACAAAAACTTAATGATTTCTCAAGGTTACTGTCAAAGCAGAATGAGGTAAGTGGAAAGATGAAACATGTCTTAGTTATAACTCAATGACCCAAAGATGTCACCTTGCCCAAAAAACAACATCGCAAGGTTTTATAAGTCTCAAAACATTTTTCTTAATGAACAGCAGACACGAATTTCCAAATCTCACAGCAACAGTGAATGTGCAAGGATTGTCAATAACCTATTGAAAAGCAATCACTTCACTACCATAAGGTCATGTTCCACATAGCCATGTTCCATTCAAGCACACTTTGGTCAAGAGTGGGCCACATGTGCACTGGTGTCTGTTGTGAAAGAATTTTCTCCTGCCTGTAATGATGGTGGTTCAAACAAACCTAAGACAGAAGCATTTCCAGGGTGTGTAAAGAAGCAGGGTTGTAACCCAGAATCCTCACCTATCTAACACAGTTTGGGTGTGAAACACGCCACTCCATGTACAATCGTAACAATACTATGATGTCTGCTCCATGATGGAACAGCCAAAAATATCACCTACCAGAAGGTGCCTCTGCCACTGACATACAACAATTCTCAAGGACTTAACACATGTGATATCCTGAGCAGCACAGTATCAGCAGAGGTGAGCAACAGACCATGAGAAAGGCTTCAGTGGGCTGGCCTTCAACAGCATGGAAAGATGAGTGACAGCAGGTGTCTTGGATACAGATCACAATGATGATCCAGGCAAACTGGAATCTGGGTGGCCAAAGGCACTATATCCTCAATTCTGTAGACAAAAATCCATTTACTATGCATTCAAATGTAAAACACTAAAACACATTTAATGAGCTTACAAGAAATTTTATTTTATTGATTTATATGGCACTTAATGACTGAGCCTCATCCCCAGCACATATGCCATTTTGACACAGTACTCAAAAACTTCCTCAGGGCCTTGTGAGAGGCTGAGGGTAGCATTTAAATTTATGATTCTTCTGCCTCATCCTCCAAGGCTGCTAGGAATACAATCGTGCACCATTGCACCTGTGGAAATTTAGTTTTGTAGAAGAACATGTTATACAATTCCCTAATGATTAGAAGAAAGAAAAAAAAATTCAACACTCAGAGGAAAATGACACAACAGGGAGCCTGGAACCATCTCACTACCGCCATGAGATAGAACAGAACTGGAAACACAAGCCAAACCATCAGAACAACAATGCCATCATGCCCCAAAGCCCTGAAAGTTTCCCACCAGCTCCGTGAAGCAGTCATATGGAAGAGTGCAGTGCAGCAACCATGGTTTGACCTTCATGATCCCTTCAGCCTGACCCTCTATGACTCCAGACTGCACACAGCACATCTTCTTCAGTTTTGGGCAATTCATACTAAAATCACCATGGAAATATATATATTTTAAATATTTTGTTTTTTAATTGTAATTGAACTCAATACCTTTATTTATTCATTTATTTATTTTTCAATGTGGTACTGAGGCTTGAACGCATGGCCTCACATGTACTAGGTGAGTGTTCTACCACTGAGCCACAACCCCAGCTCAACCATGGAAATATATTAACGCCTAAAACCAACTCTCAATCTTCTTCATCAGAAGTAATCACTATGAAAAATAGGCAGAAATTCCTTAAAAGGATTTAAGTAAACAAACAGCCTGCAAATAGCAAGAAAGCAAACTATTGTCTACCCACTCAACCATCACCTAAAATTTGACCAAGAAAGCTTCAGAGAGTTTCTTTTAAAAATCAGGTTTTAAAAACACCCAGGTCTAGGAAGCTGAGGCAGGAGGTTCTCAAGTTCAATGCCAGCCTTAGCAACTTAGTTAGGCCCTAAGCAGGTTGGTAAAATTCTGAATGAAAGATAACAAAAATAAAAGTTAAGGGGGAAGGTGCTGCGGATTTGGTTCGGTGGTTAAGCACCCGAGGATTTACTCCACAGTATGCTCCCCCAAATAAAACCACCGAGATATACTGATGAAAGAAGGAAGTTCACACAGACTAGGAGGAAACATTAAAAAGAGGACCATGACCCACATGCTCAGCACTGGTTGCTCTCCAGGTGGGAATCTGCAGAGCAAAGGCACAGCAGAGTTTTAAATAGCACCACTGTGTGTTAAAGCACAGGCCCCAGCACAACTACTCACAAAAACCAGACAAGTGAGGATTTGCTGTTTCTACTGTTATTCTCTAGTTTCTGGTATTCGGAAAAATGAGGCCAAGGGACACTGAGATCTGGCAGTAACAGTTTATTAGTTGCACTACACCCCAGAAAAATAATTCCCAAAGCGTGAGCCCACAGAACATCAGGGCTTTTGCTTTTATACATAAACAAGCTTTGAGGACATCAAGAAAGAAAATTGGGGCAATATATTGGAGAGTAAATTTTTTATTTCTTATATGGGAACAAGCTTGCCAATGGCCTAAAGACTCATACACATTTGGGACTTCTACTATGCTCAACCTGAAGAGGGATTGTTCTTTGTCTGCTACTTTGTTGGCTGCTTCTGCTACTGCATTACAGGTACCTGCAGCTGTTGCCAGCCCTCATGGTGAAATGTCAGAGAGCACAGCTGGTGGGTGTCAGTCTGCCAATCCTCAGCCTGTCAGCTTCGAAACCCCTAAAGTTTCCATTCTGTTGGATGATCTAGCATTCAGGGAAATTTTTCAAAGGAGCTAAATACAAAATAATTTGCTAAACATAGCTCAGACACCTAGTCTCTAGGCAAAGGCATGAAGCCTTCAACAAACAGAAACCACAGAATAGGACAAAAGGAAGAAACACATTTTCTTTTTTTATTTTTCAGTTGTTGATGGAACTTTTTTCAGTTGTATATGGTGTTGAGAATCAAACCCAGTGCCTCATGCAGGCTAGGCAAGCGCTCTACCACTGAGCCACAACCCCAGACCCAAGAAACATATTTCATTCACTTAAAAAAATATACAAAGAATACTGAGGAACAGCAAAACATAACTCATGAATGGAAAATAACAGACGTGAGATTGACCATGCCTGAGTAAGATAAGACTCCAGAATCCCTGGGATAAATTATGTTTCTATTCATTTATTCATTCGTTTGTTTATATTTTGTACCAAGGATTGAACCAAAGGGTGCATAACAAATAAGCCACATTCCCCACTGCCCTATTTTATTTTTAATTATTTCTATTTTGAGAGAGAATTTCTCTAAGTCATTCAGTGCCTAACTTGATGAACCTTCCTTTGAAGTTGTGATCCTCCTGTCTAAGAGTCCTGAACTGCTGGGATTAAAGGGATGTGGGGGCCCTAGGCTAAACTTTCAAGTAACTCTCTTGAATTGTTACTATGCATGCACCTGAAAAAAAGTCAAAATACATCAGGCAGAGACATACAAAACTTCCCAGGATAATGAAGAATAAACTGCTACATTGGGAGACATCACCACAACACTGCTGGGTCTGTGATCATGTAGCAGAGCAACAGACACGAGGGCTTCCCTGGCCATTAGTCAAAGTGAAACACACAGCCTTCTCAGGATCACAGTACCACCACCCAGAACAGGCCACATTCTGAGCCATAAGCCTCACCTCAACAAGTATGCAATGCCAGTGAAATCCCAAGTAGGTTCAAAGAACATGGGAGTTAAAGCAGAAATCAGATCAGAAGCAGCTGGAAAACCTTTAAGCAATGGGAAATGCAACACAGGGCTCTAAAAAGACACAGGAGGAAGAGGTGACTTAAGGGCAAATGTGACCATGTTGAGAAAAATGAAATATAAAAGTCCAAAATGGGAAAACAGCACAGATGGTGCACTGGGGGTCTCTAGAGCATCCAAAGCACATTCCAGAAAAGAAGAGATAAAAGCAATCATTGACCCCTGTACTTAAGTAAAGGAGCAAAAAAAGAGAAAGGTAAGTATAAATTAAGCACATGCGGGTAAGAGGGGGTGTTGGTGAAACAACTTAAATCAGCAGGGGCTGGTGCTGGGACTAAGCTGTATCTCACTCTCCTTGTATGTGTGAGGTACTGGGTTTCATTTCAGTGCCACATATAGCACCAGTGAGACACTGGGTTGAATCCATACCAGCACATCAAAGTAAATAAATAGAAGAAAGGTATGAGAAATACAATAACATTAAACAAATAAGAAACCCAAAGACACAGACACTACCCATTAGAGTTAAAAATAGCCACCATTACCATCCATGGGCTCTTCAACAATATCATAAACATGCACTTGACACAAATCTGATAACTTAGAGGAAGTGGCCCAATAATTTCAGAGAGACCATCTCCTACAACATACACAGAAGGACAAATACACAAAACACATGAGCCTCTGCCTACTAAAGAAACTGAATCAATAACTAATTACCATCAAAAAAGTGAAATGTAGGAGTTTTAGACATCCTACAGGCTGCCACCAGGTCCTCCAGAACTTCCACCAATTTTCTACATTTGTTTTGAGAATGAAGAAGCACAGGAAACACCTTCTAATTCCATTGGAGGCATATGTTACATTATTATCAAAATTATCTTGATAAAATGAGGAAGCTATGAATTACTCTCATGATCATAAATGCAAAATACCTCCACAAACATTACTTAACTGAATCTAGAAATTAATAAAAAGAATTGCATACCAAGTACAAGATGTTGAAAACACTGGAGACTATAAGCTAAAGAGAAGAGGTGTATGATACTACGGGAGATGGTTCACTGGAATGTTTACTTTGATGGAATTAAGAGACACTAATGATTAATAGGCTTCTGGGTGTGTCCATGAGGCTGTGTCTAGGAGTGATTGGCATGTGGGATAGCAAACTAGAAAACCTCCCTAAGTGTGGGTAACATCATCAAATAGGATGGTGGCTTGCATGGAATAAAAGTTGCAAGAACATGGTAGCAGCTGCACATGCAAGCTGGATTCTACACAGATGGGTTTTCCACTGCTGCTGTGATTGCCTGAGGATATCAACTTTTCCTTCTTTACTCTTCCAAAGCTGATTCTGCCAGTGATTCTCCAGGAAGTTTCCAGAAGCATTAGATCTCAGACTAGGATAGCACCATTGATCCCTCTTGTTCAGAGGCTTCAGCATCTTGGGCTGCACAGCTACTACTTCTCCAGCTCCCCAGCCAGCAGACTGCCACAGAGGACTCTCCAGCTTCTGGTCACCTAGGACAATCTAACAAATCCCCTTTTTGTATTCATTCTTCCTGTTGATTCTGTTCCAATGGAGAACCCTAACTAATGTACTACAGAAGACTACAATTGCTCTGAAAAATAAATTCAATAAAAAATGAATCAACTACCACACCATGGAAGATTCACAAATATATATAGAAGAAACAATATTACATACTGAATACCTTTTCCATAATAATGCAAGAGTAAAGGAAAGAGGAAGAGTTATATATACAAATTTCAAAACTATGAAGAAAAGCAAGGAAACTGATTTTCAATGCTGTTTCCATTTTGAGAGAAATGGGGTGACTCATCTCATTAAAACTCCTGGTTTGGTGGAGTCCACTTAAAATTTTTGCAACTAGAAAAGTCAGGGCAGGAAGATGACAAGACTGAAGCCAGTCTCAGCAATGGAGCAAAACCATCAGAAACACAGTCAGACTTGGTCTTAATCAAAAATTACAATCAGGAAAAGAGGCTGTCACTGAGTGACAGAGCACATTCCTAGCATGTTTGAGGCATTTGGTTTAAAACAGATCCACAAAAAAAAAAAAAAAAAAAAAAAAAATCAACACAATTAAGGTATTCTGTCCATCTCCAACTATAACAAAATTTAAAATAAATTTAAAAATAAAAAATGCTGGAGATGTGCTCAGTGGTCAAGTGCCTCTGGGTTTAATTCCCTAGGAAAACACACACCCACCATCAAAAAATGCTGTCACCACCTTGAAAGTATTTGTTGAATGACAACAAGCAGGAACAAGTCCCTGGCTTAAATCCCACCACTTAATACATAATAAATCAATAATTGTCCACTTTCTTGAGCTGGGATATAGTTCAACAGTAGAGCATTTGCCAAGCATGCATGAGGCCCTGGGTTCAATCTGAAGCAGGGCACAAACACACACACACACACACAAAAAGAAAAAACACACAATATAACTCTACTAAACTACATCACATGAATGACAAAAAATGTTTATAATCAGAAAAATACAAAATGAGAGGCATAAAATACAATGAAATTAATAGAAAGACAATATACTTTCTTACCAAGGAGATTAAGGAGACTGACCTTTCCCATGATCTACACTCTCTGAAAAACCCTGAGCATTTTAGAAAATTCTGTGAAATCCAGGGCCAGGTGTGCTGTGCTTCTTGGTGAAATTAAAAAACAAAAACAAAAACAAAACAAAAAAAACTACTTCTAATAATGAAAATAGGAGACCATATTTAAGATCAGTCAAAATCTTGTAGTGATCACAGTGAGTGTAGACAGAGTATTCATGTAACTCCCAAATTTCATAATCTAACAGCCCAGCTCCCAAAGTGGTGGCTTAAGGATAAGACACATTTTTTTTTTCTTTTTGATTCTTTCGATTGAACCCAGAGGCAGTTGACCACTGAGCTGCATCCCAAGTCTTTGAAGTCTCACCAAGTTTTATAGGGTCTAGCTAAATTGTTAAAGCTGTCCTCAAACTTTAAATCCTCCTGCCTCAGCCTCTGGAGAAGTAAGGAGTACCACTGTGCACCACTGCACCTTGCCATAAATTAGGATGTTTACTAAATGGAAATGTAAGTAGGCTTTTTTATTCCACTTCTTTTTTCACTCTTTCATCATATTTCATCATATTTAGTGCTGAATAAATAAACTTGGGCCTCAGATAAGTGAGCAGATCATTTCACAGTCATAACCACAGATGGCTGGTGCTGAGGGAGCAAACATATCAGGCTCAAGAGGCAGGGAAGGTCCCCCTGCCAGCTGGGACATCCTCACACCTGGTGTGCTCACTGAAATACTCCATGATCACTCTCCCATGAGACCTAGACCATGACTCCAGCCTATGAGGCTTTTCAGATTTTCACAGCACTGCACTGGGGGGGCTGGTCCTTATGCTCTGGAAGAGTTTTTGCTCTTCCACACTGTGAGAGAATGCAAGGGTCAGGAATCACTGGTGACCTGGCCCCTCAGCACCAGCATCCACAGGCTGACTGTCCAACTGTATCCAACGAATGGGAACAGGGCTTGGGGAAAACAAGATCCCAAGAAGTTAGTTGTCTAGATGAGACTTGTTCCAGGACATTCCTTTGCCCCAAAACCTCAGTTTATCCCCCAAGAGGCTGTACCTCACAACTTAGGCTGTCCTCTAAGAGGAGCTGACCCAGGGCCTAAAATTCCTTGAACCATACAGGACACAGGACAGCTGTGGGCACATGGTGGCAACTCAGGAAAGGATAGTGGCTGAGAACATAGGACTCTCTGAGGTATCAAAAGAAAACCAGCCTGAGAAATCTGACATGCTGTCTATACCTAAGAAAGATAAAGAGAGAAGCACAGGATTTTCACAGGTGTGAACTGAAGTTCTCTATGAACTTGCTTTATATCAATGAACCTTCAGACCACGTGACTTTGGGAAACTACACCACCATGAGGATAGTAAAATGGGGTCCTGGATGAATGGCAAAAATTCTCATCTGATATCTTTTTTTTTTTAAATTAGTTTCCTTTTTTTTTAGAGAGAGAGAGAGAGAGAGAGAGAGAGAGAGAGAGAGAGAATTTTTTAATATTTATTTTTCAGTTTTTGGCGGACACAACATCTTTGTATGTGGTGCTGAGGATCGAACCCGGGCCGCACGCATGCCAGGCGAGCGCGCTACCGCTTGAGCCACATCCCCAGCCCCATCATCTGATATCTTAAGCCCTTTAATAGCCAATTACCTTAATTTCTATATTAGTCCCAAATTCTCAAAACAAATGCACTTCTCAGAATATATTACCAACCTTACCTGACATATAACCACTATCTTCCAAAGCTAACAATGTATTTAACAGACCTACAGAAGAAATCCCCCCCTTTTTTTTCTGTAGCCACTCATCTGATGATCCTACCAATGCAATTGGTTAATATATTCATACATAACTTTCTTTTACAAATGACCTTGTCAGCCAAGCACAGTGGGGCACAACTGTAACCCCAGCAACTTGAATAGGTCAGGAGAACAGCTAAATTCAAAGCCAGCCTCAGCAACTTAGTGAGGCCCTAAGAAACTTGGTGACATCATATCTGAAAATAAAATATAAAAACAGCTGCAGATCTGGCTCAGTGCTTAAGTACCCCTGGGCTCAATCCCTGATATTTAAAAAAAAGGTAATCTCTTCCTGGTTAAAACACATACATCATTCAGGATAAGTTGAATCCACATTCCTGAGTATGGTCATTAGTATTTGGGTCAAAATAAACTATTTTCCTCAGGTATTGTGGCCAGTGCCTTTAATTCCACCACCTAGAGAAGTTGAGGCAGGAGGATCAGAAGTTCCTGTCGAGGCTGGACAACCTAGCCAGATCCACTTTGAAAACAAAATTTAAAAGGGCTGGAGATGAAGGGCAAGAGAATAAATCAGACATTTTTTCCTATTTGCATATGTGACTACATGACCAGTGTGAATGGACATTAGGTACAACCAGAAAAAGGAGAAGTTACACTCTATTTACGTATAATGTGTCAAAATTCATTTTACTGTCATGTATAAGTAATGGAAACCAAGTAAAATAAATAAATAACTTCTGCCCAAAACAAACAACAAACACAAAAGGGCTGTGGATGTAAACCAAGATCCAATATCCTTAGTACCAATAACCCACTGCCTTATTTCATTTAAAGTAGCTATTTTATCC